GAAATTCGCATCCAAAATTTTTGCACGTTAAAAATAAATAAATAATTGACCTCACGTTATGTCAATCGCGCTTGCACACCGCCTCCGAAACTTTCGTCCGTCATAAAAAAATTCGGATCGGGTTTGATTTTCTGCGTTTTTCGCATCCACAGCCAGCATTTTGAGAGGTTTTTTGACAATTCAGGGCAGAGGGGAGCTCGTTTACTGTCTATGGAGCTCGTTCCGCACATCATTGCACATATGTACAGTGCTTTCAGTTTCGGTTTTCAATTCGATCAAGTATGTTCTCTTCTCTCGATTGGATTATGAAAGGAATAAACCTCCCCTTTCAATCAGATTGAAATTTCAGATCGAATAAGGTGTGATTGAGCAGCCAATTCGATAATGTATTATTTGGGCACAATATATAACAGCCTATACAGCTGTTCTGTCTGCCCAGTGCTTCCACCGGGCCATGCGCGTGTGTGTGTCCTGTCCATACCTTAGACACACTGCCAGTCTCTGTTCAGGATCGATTGGTTCATGGAAATTGGTGGTCTTGTTTTAAAAATGTAAAATAAAGGTAAATTTTGAATCGCTCGGGATAAATTCACAACTCATTGATAAAGAGGTGCTTCCTCTCGGCGCAATTTCAGGATTGGATGGACGTAATATTTTCTCTTCTATTTTCAATAAGAGAGAGGACAACAAAATCATCCTCACAGCTTGACAAATTCATTTTGTATTTTTGCGTTTTTCCCCGCAAAGGTTTAAAAAATACGCATCGGACTCAGTCTGCAAGGTTTCTGTGCGCGACAAATTTTTAGGCTGACGAACACGGAAAAACGCATACGACAATTTCGTACTCAGTGTGCAATGGCCTTTAAGCTGTTTTATAAAGGCACAAAGCCATGTCATGGTTTCAATTTTAGTTTGTTCGCAAAATATAACACTAGAGACCTTTATGTTAGGTTATACATTTTACATCTCATACATGTTGCGAAAAGGGAGAAGAGATAGTTCGGCAAAAGGCGGATTTGAAGTCAGGTCGAGTGCTTCAAAAGCTGCTTTCAAGCACTTTACGCCCTACGCCACTGTAGCTATTCCGTGACGAGCATCTATTTACTATAAAGACAGGCACTTAGTGCAAACATACGCTCTGGTATCAAAAATGTAAAAAAAATCTTTTTTTTTTACTTCCCCTCGCTTGGGCGCATGGCAAACTTGCAATGTATAAATTTTATCAGACCGCCCTCGAAACACTACTGGCCCACTGGGAAAACTCCCGACACTCCCGATTGCCACTCCGCTACTGCTGTTGCCGTGTTGCCGCCCCATTCTTGCGAAAACCAAATGGAGGCGCCATTTGTGGAAACTTGCAGATTATGGGCCGGTAATATTATAATAGATCCTACGTAAGAAGGGGAGCAAAGTCAGATCGGCATATTTTTTGACATGCATGCAGAGAAAAGATTACCAAAACAAAGTTACTGGGTTGTCACTTGCACCGATTATATGATTAAACATGGAAAAAGTCAGATTTTCATGAAATGTCTCCTTTCAATTCTACATATGCTGCTCTTTTCTAATCTTGTTCGTTTTAGAGGTGTGTCTTCTCTTACAAGATCTTTTGCTCTTTTGTTTCATGTGCCCAAACCTGATAGATAACATGCTAGAGGGATTTTGGAGGAAATCTAAATCTAGAAAGCTCCTTGAATTATTTTCATGTCATAATCCATTGGTCTGATCTGAGAGGGGCAGAGGTGGGGTGGCAGTGCTGGACCTCCTGTTGCTTGAGTCTTTAATGCCACAGTCAGCAGGAAGGGCCCGGGCACAGCAGGGTCCCTCGCTCGGCAAAAGGGCTTGGACCCCGGGCATGCAGGGTGAGATGAGAGAGTATAAGGAGAGCATATATCTGCTGGAGGACGCTGACGGCAGAACACGAGCAGGGCTGTCATGTGGTGTTTGATTGATGCTTCTGCTGTAATGTAGTGGTGTGCAGTGAGGGTTTGTGGAAAAAGGGGGTTTTGTTTGCAGGAGAAAAGGGGGATGGAACATGTTTCCTTTACTGATGTGAAGTAGAAACACAACTTGCAGTCATGCAGCTGAAAGAGCTGCCACCGGAGAAGATGTTCATGCCAGTCAAAAGTTTGTTTTCTTCTCAGGAAATGCCTGTGAACCCGAGCTTAAGCAGGGATATCCCGCCGCTGGTTGCGTCACCTTAGCATCTGGTGTTTAAGCGCACATGCATCTTATTTACATGCATTCACTGCAGCACATGAGATATGCCCTGGTATAAGTATTTAAATTGTTACTGCCATTATTTTTAGCATTAATTGCTCCCCTTTTTTATGCAAATAAGACTCTGTCTTAGTCACAACAGTCAGTGCTTGGTGCTTTTACAGCTTGCATAAAGCTAGTAACTCTTTCCCTGCTATTGACGGAATTGGTCTGTCATTTATTACACAACGCTTTCCCGTAATTTTCCGGCAATCCATGTTTTTAATGTAATGTGGTTGGGGTGCGCTATTAAGAGTACAGAATCTCTGCATCAAAACACAGGTGAAAAAGAAGCAGAGATAAGTGATATAATCATTGCTTATGCACAGATAAAATAACAATATCATCCAACATTAACAACTTATAAAGCATATACATTAACGAATGAAATGTTGTTGACCCAAGACTGTGAAGTTTGGGGGTGTTGATGGGTGCAATCTACTCCATCTATGTTTTAATCATCATTCGGAATCTGATCCGGACAAGTCTTTGACAAACATATGATTTTGTTCGAAAAGCTTTTATAATGAAACTTACCTACATCCAAGTGTAAATAAAAAAAGACTGCATGTTGTTTGTTTGTAGAGCAGAGGCTCTGTTCTTTCTTTTAATATAATGTGTTCAAATCATCCAACAATATGTTTTAGGGGCCATAACATGTTTTGTAAAAATGATTTTAAAAAATAACGGGGTTGGCTGGCAACTTCCTTTTTTTCTTTAGTGAATAACATACTAAAACAAGACAGACAGCACATTGAAACACATTGTTGGTGAATCTCCCCAGAGAGATTTATAAAGTATGTGCTTTAAGCCTTTACTTTCCTGAATCACTACTTTGAAAAGAATTACACAGAGACAATAGATATCCCCAGACAATTCATTCATAATTCATTTTCTGTATTTTCAGGAGCCATTAAAGTCACATGCAAGAGTATTTCTTCTTTTCTTTCAAATATTTTTTAAGAGGCATACGATGACATTTAATTTTCTGCCATTACAGGGGTCTGACCCTTTTTGTCCTGATCCACTGTTTCTTTTTTTTCTTTTAATTTTTTTCAAGACGATGTATGTCATGAATTTTAATTTGGATGATAATATTGTGTTGGGCACTTTCAGCTCACACAAAACAATGGGGCCTGAAGCTCTTTTTTTTACCAATGTATCTGTACTTTTCCTTGTTAAGTCCCTTTTTCACATTGAACGTTTTCTATCTACCACATTATAATAATTATATCTCAATTTTCTTTAGTCTGTTTGTGTGTTTATGTGTCAGAATAAAACAAATGACAGTTTGAAAGGCCAGTGATGTGGCATAAGCAGTTAGCATGGATAATTCATGTGCTGTAGAGAGGAAAACACATTCATAATTGATCATAAAACAGCTTTTGTTTGTTGATAATTTCACTCTGAGCAAAAAACTGCTCTACTAAATGTATTGTTTTGCTGTTAAACTTGCATGTTCAAAATAGACTGTTTGCCACTGCCTGCTTTGTATTTGCAGAATTAATCTTCAGTTATTTATCACATGCACTTGTAAACCTTTGCACATGATGCTGGTTTTGGCTGGTCGCTTATCATGCCCTCTTCTGAAAAGAACCCTTTTTTGTTTTTCTTAAAGGACTAGTTCACAAAAAAAAAAAAAAAAAAAAAAAAAAAAAAAAACTTTTGCTGATAATTTGCTCACCCCCATGTCATCCAACATTCTTTTTCCATTTGAAAAGAAATTAAGGTTTTTGATGAAAACATTCCAGGATTTTTCTCCATATAATGCACTTCAATGGGAACCAAATGGTTCAAGGTCCAAAAGACAGTTTCAGTGCAAACTGCAAACTGTTCAAAGGTCTTTAAACGACTTCAGGCGATGAATAAGGGTCTTATCAAGAGAAACGAGACCATTTGAGCTTGTATAAAACTTAAACTTTGTTACTTTTTTTCTAAATGAGCGATCGTTACGATTGATAAGACCCTTATTCATTGTCTTAAACCGTTTAAAGCCCTTTGAACAGTTTGCAGTTTGCACTGAAAGTGTCTTTTGGTCCTTGAACCATTTGGTTCCCATTGAAGTCCATTATATGGAGAAAAATCCTGGAATGTTTTCATCAAAAACCTTAATTTTTTTTCGACTGAAGAAAGAATGACGTGGATGACATGGGGGTGAGTAAATTATCAGCAAAAGTTTTTTTGAAAAGTGAACAACTCCTTTAATGTGAAGAGTGTAGGTTGCCAGGTTGAGATGACAAACTGGTTGAAATTGTGTGTGGATTGTGTGAATATAATGCATTTAATACAAGAACTGGCAACTGGTCAACGTTAGACAAACGTATTGGTCCGATTATTCATAAAGGAGTTTGGGCCATGCAAATTCCGCGAGTTTCCCGGGAGAAATAACAAACCGGGAGGGGTCTGTTGACCGTAATTGCATCCCATATAAAATCATCTTGAAATGTGATCGGTGGCCGGTTGCATAAACTCATCATCTAACTTGGTCATCTAACTTTTTTTTCTTTAAGACTGATCATAACTTTTTTAAGTCAGTTACATAAAAAGGCAGATTGGTCTCACTTGAATCCGAAAAGTAAGGCTGATTAGCCCTAACTGCTAGTTGGTCAGATTGATTCTTAGTGGCTATGTTTATGCAACTGGCCCCTGGTTCAAACAGGTCTGAGCAGTGTGAGCAGTGGCTTTCGGCAGGTTATTTTAGTGAATGTCAATGATTTTGTGTCTCCGTCCCATCCCTGCAGGTGTCGCTGAGGTGATCGTGCTGGTGGGTGGGCGGCAGGTCATCGGTATGAACCAACGCTCGCTGACAGCCGTCACTTGCTTCAACCCTCAGAACAACAAGTGGTACCCCCTGGCCAGCTTGCCTTTCTACAACCGCGAGTTCTTCTCCGTCGTATCGGCGGGGGATAATATCTACCTGTCAGGTAATCAAACCGACAGCGTGTCACTTGCAGTTTGGTGGCCTCCCGCAGGTGTCTGCTTTTATATTTAGCACTGCACGGTCTGAGGGATGATGGGAAAGCAGATGGCAGTTCCTCGTCTGTCTTCACGACTGGCTGCGTGTCAAATTATGATGTTAAATATTCCACAAATCAAGCAAGATTAAAACAATACCGCAGGAAAGACGATGCTTTTAAAGATGTAACAGCAATTTGTTAGGGATAACTTTATAGTTGTTGGTCCATAGACATCAAGATTTTTATATTTAATTTTAGATAATGGCATAAAGGAAAATATATTGCCACGTTCACACAGCAGCAGAATAATGTAGTCAGTCCTCTTTATGGTCCATAATATGATCACACATAGTAGGGGTGGAACGGTACACAGAAGTCACGGTTCGGTTATGCCGTCACACCAAACGCGAAGAGCGGCAAATTCGCGTCTATCGCGTCTAGTTGGACACTAGTCCAAAGCGAGGATGCGCGTATAAACCAACGTTTGAATGCGCGTTTGAAATAAAGTCAACGTTTGAAAGCCGACATGCGTTCAGAGCATAGACGGTTCAGAGCTAGCCGATGGTACAGATTATGTGTCCCTAAAGAACCCGCGCATCTAACAATAGTTCCGCATTACATTAATTAATATGCACGCAAGTTTTATTTATTTTTGTACCGTGTATTCTCCGTTTAAATTCGTGCACCGAACCGTGACGCCCGTACCGCTTCGGTTCAATACGAATACATGTACCCTTCCACCCCTAACACATAGTACTGTTATTTACAGGAATGACAACCGCATTCTATAACCAAAATCACACCAGTAAATGTTCTTTTCTCACAACCACATTTTTGGAAAACGTGCTGTGTGAACAGACCTAGACTGAACAAATAATCTGTCACGTCATATAGAGAAAAAGAGCCGCTCTGCACTGCACAAACATGTGTCTGTGTGTTGCTGGTATTCATGTGTGGTTTCTGTAACTTACAGCGACGGAGAACATTTTCCAGAAATAGAGTTTAAGAACCTTGCTGTATTTTTGTGTAATTAGTGAGAAAGTACATCCGATACAGTCATACTCCTCTAAAAAAAGGTACGAAAGCTGTCACTGGGGCGGTACCTTTTCAAAAGGTACACTTTTGTACCTAAAGGGTGCATATTGGTACCTTCATCATGGTACACTTTTCTACCTAAAGGGTGCATATTGGTACCTTCATGGTACATATTTGTACAATTATGGTACCAATATGCCCCCTTTAGGTACAAAAGTGTACCTTTTTGAAAAGGTACCACGCCAGTGACAGCTTTTGTACCTTTTTTTCTGACAGTGAACGAAAGTGACATTAACGCACCTGCTCTCGTAAATACGAACTTCCAAAGAGTACTTGAACGCACCAAATTTGCATATTTAGAAACATACTGATTACATAACATATTGTATTCTCCTGTGTACGCGTAGGTTTACAAATGATAAAATTATGCATAAAAAATGCAGCCTTAAAACACTGTCGGTTCTTGGATTCTCGTCCATGGAATTCGCCACTGCTGGTATTGACAGTCCTACAGATATATTTACCATGGTTCAAAACACCATGCATAGCACATCAAAATAATTGAAATTATATATATGAAATAGAATTACTATCAAATCAGGCAGATGCGTTGCAGGTGGTCAAATTATTAACAGGGCGTTATAATTGATCTTCGATATTCATAAAAAAAAGCACCCCAGAAAAAAGGGCACTTTCTCTCGAGGAAGAAAGAGGGCAGGTGCTCAAGCCCCCATTGATGTTGATAAGTGCACAATCCAGTCACTGTTCTCCACCAGAGATGCTCTCCTCAGTTTTGTGTTTGAATGTTTTGTCATTTTTAATGACAAACATGTTTTCTTTTTTGTTTATTGCATTGGCCCGGCCCCAATTGGCATTCTGAGCACTCGTGGTCTTCCTACGAGTCCACACTTTCATGATGCAATGCCGCTTTGACTGTCGGGATGAAGTCTGAGGCGGAGCTAGCATTGGTGCGAGCAAAAGTGCGTATTGAGGGTTCATATCGACCGCAAAGCTTCTGGAAAGCCTAAAATGGCAAATAGGACACCTTACTTATCATGGACTTACCAGATAAAACATGCCATTTTGGACAGGTTCTTAGTGTTTTTAGCATTCTTTGGCTACGGCAGTTAACAAATTGCTTCGGTCGCCGTTGTCATTCCATCCGCAGCTGTTGCTTAAAGGTGCAGTCTGTAAGAATGACGGAAATACAGTAGTCGGTCGAAATAGGTAATGCAGTCTAATTCAAAATATCAGAGATTGTCGTTTCGACGGTTTGCCAGTTTGAGCACATGCAACAGGAACAAGCGCAATGGACAATGAAAATTGAATGAAAATTAAAATTGGCAACGTGCAGTATCACAGACCAAAACAAAAACAAACATTCCAGCTCGGAAACGCATATTTCAAAGTAAAATAACTGGCTGTTAAGTGTTTTTTTTTTTTTTTCTCAGAGAAACGTGTATGTGAACTTAGCATGTTTTCTCAATAACTGCAAACATATTATAGTATTTTTATGCTTTAGTAGAGTGAAAAAGTTACATACAGCACCTTAAATGCAGCCGGTCTGCTAATAAGAGCTGAAACTTCTGTTATATTTGAGAAACATCAAACGGCAAACGAAAGGAAATTATACGAAACAGCGCTTCTCGTTTAACCAGCGCAGAGCAATAGACAGCGCAGAACGAACTCAGAACAGGTTTTTTCACGGGCTGATCTCAATCACGCGACACCATTAATTCAGAGCACTGGGAGAACCATTGAGAAAGCTTTTGAATTCACAGCAGAATTAATAACTTCGCAGCGAGATCTAGTGGCAAGCATTCAAATTCGGCACAGAATTCTATTAGAAACCACACATATCAGATCAAAACATCACTGAAGTGGAAAACCTTTTTTTAGAGTGAAATTCAAGCATTTTTAAGGGCTTTCAAATGCTTCACACTTTTTTCAGCACTTCAAAGCCCCAAATTTTAATGTTATTTTTAATGATTATTTGTAAAACTAATTTGGCGGCAGAAGAGCACTTATTGACTTATCCAATTCCCTAATAGAGAAAAAAAGGGAAGTCGTTAAGTCTCATGTAAAACAAAAACTTTACACAGAAAGCAAGTAAAGAGTGCTCCTTTTAAATTGAATATATTGAATATATATATATATATATATATATATATATATATAACAATAAAGAATCAGAAATGCTAAGCAGTTGTAGTGTTCAGTTTATTATTAAACACTACAAACAATGCACGTCTGTCCATTATTTTAACCCATTATTTGCCCTAATTTAACTTAACTTATGTTATGTTATTTTGAATTATAAAGAAATGTTCTCAGTCATTTCAACACAGTTACCATGTCATGACTTAAACTCACACTAAAACAGTCTTTTTTTTGGAACCAGCTAAAATCCCATAGAGAGAGGGAGATGTGAGTGTGGAGAGTTTTTTATTTTTATTTTATGTATCTTATTAATGAAGGTGTGATGTCGGAAGGTGTAAATGGAGACTTCAGCACTCATTTGCCTGGGCTTGTACCCTCTTTAGGTGGCATTGAGTCGGGAGTCACGCTGGCAGACGTGTGGTGCTACATGTCCCTGCTGGATAATTGGAATCTTGTGTCTCGGATGACAGTCCCGCGGTGCCGGCACAACAGCGTGGTGTACGACGGCAAGCTTTATGCCATTGGAGGACTTGGAGTGGCCGGAAACCTTGATAACGTGGAAAGGTACTTGCCGTTTGAATTAAACATTTCATTTCAAGCCATTAGGTGTTTCAAATAAACATGTGGTCAGCTCTTTCTGTGCCGAGAGCCAATCTAATAATTGGATCTCGGCTGAAGTATGGAAGCAGTATTTTGCTGGCAGGTTGACTGTGGCACAGATGCATCGAGTAGATTGGATCAGGTTTCGCTGCTGTGGACTTGCTATAATATAATCGACCGTTACACAGAGGTCGTGACACAGCCGGTCGCTTTAAAAAGAACAGAATGCAAAATCGTCAAGGGACGATGATGTAAACAAACCAGATTGATATTTGAAGACTGTTTTACAGTTGGTCATATTGAAATAAACCCATTTTCTCATGCAGTATCACTCTTGTGACATGATAATCAATTTGAATTCGTTCTTCTGGCACTAACATCCAATTTCCATCTCACTGCCTTCTCTCTCTGCTCATTCTTGTCTCATAGGCTCCTTACTCTAGTCTTGCATAGCCAGACTTTTTTGAGCTCCAAAGCTTATTCTGATCCAACAACAAACTTTCATTGGTCCAGGTTTTTCTGTTTTCAACATATACTTAGCTAGGAAAAAAATATTTTATTGTACATTTTATATATATATATATATATATATATATGAAGAGTTCAGATGCAAAAGCCTCTAAGTGCCATTTGAAATTTTCTTCTAGAATGATAATTTTTATCAAGCTTGTATATTTAAGTTCAGTGATTTCACTTAAATGGCAATGATAATTACCTATTAATTGTTATTTAAGTGAAATTACTGAACTTAAACATACAAGTTTGATAAAAATCATCATTAAAGAAGAAAATTTCAAATGGCATTTAGAGGCTTTTGCATCTGAACTCTTCATATATATAGTGCTGTCAAACGATTAAAATATTTAATCGCGATTAATCACATTAATTTGATTTCTGTCTTTTGATTTCTTTTTGTTACATTATTTTTTTCTCATTTTAATGCTCTTATCAACATGGAAAAGTAGATTTGCTTGTTTAGTGCAAATGTTTTTTATTATTATTATTATTATTATTATTGAAAATAACGTTGGAATAGTGGTCAATTTCACACTAACATATATAAATAATCTCTCACACAATGTAACACTGTCTATCAATAAAAGGGTGAAAGAAATACTGACGAGGTCCTGATATTGACGAGGGGGTGGAGAATTCGCATCATCTGTGTGTGTGTGTGTGTGTGTTTTCTTAGCCATCATCAAGTGGCGTTTCAGACTGGACGTGCTGCGATGATGATAGCTCAGTTTACAACGACAAAACACAGATCACTTGGTCTTGTCAATGGGACAATATGGCAACTTTTTAAAAGTAAACTTTCCATTCAGAATCTTCTTAGGGCATCCATTTCGGCGTCTCGCACTCGTCATCCACTCAAAAGTAATGTTACTATTTGGCGAAACGAGTATGTACGGCACAAAACGTCCTCGCGCTGCGCTTTGAACCCATTCATTTCAATGGCAATCGCGCCGCGTGAGGACGTTTTGTTGCTTCTTCGACCAAAGCGCAAGCGGATCAAGACCGTAAACAATACAACAGGCACGCCGCAAACACACGTTTGGGCTTGTGAGCCGGCTTTGAGTGGATGACGAGCGCGAGACGCCAAAATGGATCAGGACGCATGCCGCTTCCTGTTGCAAAAGCATGTGAAAAAACTACAAAGTTTGCTAGGACAAAAAGACGTTAATTGTGCGATATAAAAAAATTAACGCCGTTAAAATGAATTTGTGTTAACGCCATTAATAATGCATTAAACTGACAGCCCTAATATATATATATATATATATATATATATATATATTGTGTTTACAAACATAAACATTTATTTTGGATGTGATTAATCACCATCGTGGGTGACAGAATTTTTGGGTGAACTACTGTATGCCTTTAAATTATTTTAGATTTGACAGGATACATTATTTATATATATATATATATTTTTAAATTATACTAGATGTGATTATCTTTAATAAATTATATTTCAAATGATATTTTTTTTTAAAATATCCAATACACTGGATCCAATATCCTCTCATCACAGCTAAAACCATGCAAATGCAAACAAGATCATGTCATCAGCTTGTAAAAGGTTCATTTGGAATTAAAGCCAGATTGTTACTGGCCATTTCAGAGAGCTTAACCATTGTTGTGTTCAATATGAATGAGACTTCACGAACAATCCGCTGGGACGCTTGTTTGATTGACAGAACCGTGGAGGTTTGTTAGAGAGAGTCCGACCGCCCACTTCACCCTGCTGACTCCTAATTTATATCCCACCATCCTTCTTGCCTGCAGTTTCACGCTCATAACCATGACATCTACTCCGCTCACAATGATGTCTTCAGTCGGCCTGCTTCTCAAGGCTGCCTTTGGCCCAATCGGGAGCAGCATCAAGGTGCTCTTGCTCTCTGTCTGATTCGTTTTTATTTATTAAAGATGAATTTGGAAACTCAGTGACTTGACTTGCAACTTGAGATGACTTGAAATGATGATTCGTGAGCTGTTTTTTAGTAAGCACTCAGCTTGGCGAGATTAAAAGCTGCACATCCATGCCGGCAACACCTGCAGTGTGTACACAGGATTTGATGACTAATGAGCCTTAAAGAAGGAGTCTATAAATAACAGACAAAACAACACCTAGAATTAACAGAAAAAAAAACACATTAATACGCTCGTTTACTGTATTATTGTAGTTCATTTTTATGGACGGCATTTTCTGCTAATTTTAAATGAAAAATGACAATGTATTGACTGTTGACATAAGTACAGTTGTCTATAATGAAATGGTTTTAGTTTTCATTTTATCATTTCATTTATTTGTTTAAAACTGGCAGAAAATGCCCTCCATTAATTTTGAAGCAATGCAGAAAAAAAAAAAAAAACCCACAAACTCACTGAGACTTTGCTGTTATTGGTTTTTAATAAATATGTCAATTTAAATATACAAAAAATATAAAATATAAGTTAACAGTGCATTGTTCTAAAAGCATGAAATGCAAAGCACATCAAAATATTTGTAAATAATTATTCAGTGTTGAATGAGACTCTGTTTATGATTAACATTTCTCACACGTCCTGTCTGCCATAGTTGATTTAATGCATACTGGGATTGTATTCTCCCCAGAGGATGTTTGTGATGTTTTCCTTCGATTTTGGCTGAACTAGAAGTCATCATAGTGCTTTTTTGGGAACATGTTGGGAGTGCATCTTAAACTGCTCCCTTTGGAGACAGAGTATATATGTTCATAAGTGCCAAATGAGAATAAAACTGACTTTTGTGAGCAAATAAAGATGTTCAACAGTGACTATGAAGTTTTGATTTTGGGTGGGAATCATCAATTTAATGTCACAAAACTGAAAAATGTTGTGACGAGATCTGATCTGTTCTAAAATGTGTGTGCCCATGCTGCTTTTTCGTTTCATTTTGGCAATGGCGTTGTGATGGTGGGCATATTGAATTATACCTTACATTATTTTATTTATTTGTTATATTGAAGAGTGCTTTTTGAAGGTATTGGTTTACTTAAGCCATTTTTGAGCACTTGAGCTTAACTGAGACTTGAGTGTTTGTAGACGTTTAAGAGGCTGTTGTGTTGACCTCAAATTATTGCAATTTTGAGGTGTTCGGTTTTATTTCGACCTTAAAAAACCTGTGATCTCACAAATCAACTGTTCCTTTGTTTTCCACTGGCAAATATGTCTCTTAGGTGTTGAGGACTAGTGCATCTTTAAACATGAATTCAGTACAAGCAAAACACTGTTAAAATCAGATACTCTTTTACTCAAGACTTTTACTCAATTCCTATTGACTTAATTGAGTCATTTTTGCTGTAAAATATCTGTTCTCTTTACACCTCTAAGTAGTATTTACACCTCTGAGCACAGTATTGAAGTATTGAGCAAGATCATTGTGTCTATAATTTCTGAAATATACATGAAGTCAAGCTCCATGTCAAACTCCCCATGTTGAGACTAGTATTTTATTAGGCGAAGGAATCCTCGTTTTGACCATCTCAATACACAAACACAGCTTGTGTATCTGCACCACGTTCACACCAGATCATCAAATGTCATATTTGCGCTGTTGAATCCTGTGATTAATTGTGGTGGCACAATGCGTTCTCTCTGGGTGCCTCCTAACCTTTCACAGTCTGGAAATTCCACACCCCTCGAGTCCTGCCCTCTGATGGCAGCACGAGGACAGGGATAATTCCGACGCTGTGCCCCCTTCAAGCCCAATCAGCAACACTTACTGTTTAATTGCTCTTTTATGATGGATTCCAGTCGTAAAGCCACAGTCTCATACTTTGAGTTGTCGTTCCATCTCTTTAGCTCTGAAATTACTGTAGAAAACAAGCAACTCGAGGGCAGAAGCAGAGAGAAGCTGCTCTTGGGAGTTCATTTTCTCTGTGTCATGCAGTCATGACTTTGGCACTTTCACAATGTCACGTGTCACGCGTTCTAAGTTCAAACGAACAACTGCTCCAATTAAAGCTCTAAATCTGAACTTGAATGTGCTCTGTAATTTTTTTTTTTTTTTTTTTTACTTTCTTAATGCACATTCCTGTTTTTTTATAATGAATTCATCAGTGCATGTTAATCCAAAGAGTAATAAATAAATAAAAAATAACCTTTTTTACTACCTATCAAGACAAAAATCATAAGTCTGATTATCTAAGCAACTGTTGATAACTGTTGTTTATAATTGTGGTCTGATACACTATCATTCAAAATAAAGAAATGTAAACTTTCTTTCTTTTCAAGACATTTACAATTTTAAATAAAATTTTTTAATTTTAAATAATTTTTTTTAAATAAAAGCTGTTCTTTTAAACTTTTTATTCATCTAAGAAAACTGAAAAATAAAATGTATCATGGTTCAACAGCACTACTGTTTTCAACACTGATAATGATAAGAAATGTTTCGTGAGCAGAAAATCAGCAGCTCGCATATTAGAATGATTTCT